TTCGCAAACATGGAGACTTTTCTTCAATCCCGTTTGAAAATAGATTTTGTTATCTTTCACCACATCAACTGAATACTGATGCGATTAAATATAATAAACTGGCGAATTTAAATTTGAATTTTTCAAAATTCTGAAAAACAGACTTTTATATACCGAAAACGAAGGCACTTATTGGATTAAAATAATTTCAGCAAAATATTTTGGATGACCGATTATTTGGTTAACTGGAGCTCGCTGTGAAACTTTCTGGTACTTCCTTCTTTCACCGCAATTAAAACGCATCAAGTTCTTAAATAACTAACTAATTAATTCCTGGAGTATATTTAACACTATCATGATATCTGTAAGGAGTTACACTCAATTGACTTTCGGCAGTATTTTCTTATATCTTTGAAATGCAGTTGAAGTAGAATGCTGAAAATTTATAAACTTAAAACGAATAAACATGAATATTTTTATACCTGTGAATGAAACTAATATAATACGTTAATAATTTATATTGAAAACTTTGTCAATAAAATTACTTTACTTTTAATTTAACTAGCTAATTTATTCTTAATTTATGCATGTGGCTTTAAATTTAGAGCATACACTCTGCACAAGAAGAAGTGAGACAGTTCTACATCTCTTGGGTCAACTGAAGAAATTTAAATTGCGTTTTTCATATCTTGGAAGAAAAACGTAGATTTATGTATAGTTAGTATATTTTAGTATAAATATTTTGCTATAACATCGGACTTTTCTGAAATGTCATACCTAGTTTTGCATTTACTCCCACAAAAGCATCCCAGGTATGTTCTACAGTGTTTATGTCTGGAGACCTGATTGGCCATTACACTATTATCCTTGTCCTATTTGTTTCAGAAAAATCATCCACAAGACTAGCCGTACATGGATGAGGGCTGTTGTTCAAATTATGAACAAAGGGCCAACTGCACTCCTGAAAAAGCAAGCATTGAGTTCTTAGATCTCTTCCCTTATGTGCGCCGTCCAATCTAATGCATGATCAGACCATTAAATCCTCGCTGCCATATTGGTCCTTTCCTCGAATGGTAATCGTTTCTGGGCAGTTCGCCGTAAGGCCAAATCGCCGCCATGACAGATTATCTTTACATGCCTATATTATATCTATTTTGTTTACTCCTTGTTAATCTCTGTCTTAAATATTACAGAAAAAAAGCTTTTGTAATTCAACGCATCTTCTAGAATTACAAAAATCTACTAAAATAACAAATTCATTAATGACATGCAGTATTTAGTTAAAAATTTAGTCACAGTTAAAAGTATTCATAATTAAGATGAAATATAATATTGTAAGGAACTTAAGTTTTACTAACGTTTATTTTATTTTAAATCTTTACTATCACTTCTTATTTTCTACTTCCGGCCAGAATTATAAGCGTTAATGTATTTATGCAAAGTTTGTCTGGCGAACGCCAAGTATTTAAGTTGTGGCTTTTTGCCAAGCGAGAGAGAGGAAGCAGTTAGTCGAAGCAGGCCGCTTACCTTAGAAGTTTTTCTCAGTTGCTGGTTGCCTTTCAGGCCAGAAGTTTAATCCTCTTGATAATTTTAAACGTATTGTAGTGTTCACAGTTCTCTGTACTACATACGGCTTCCTGTTATTATAAGGCCAATCTTCCACGTTTGACATTTCCACATTGACACGTTTCCACATTGAACCTGATAATATAATTATGAAAATAGTACATAATAATGAAATAAATAAAATATTAAAATTAAACATAGTTTAAAGTAACATTCATAACACAAAGCAAATTATTTTGAGATTTCAAAATAACCACTTTTAAGATAATATTAATGTCTTTATATAATTAAATACACTAAATTCTATTTTACATTTTATATTACAAAGCCCGATTTTTTGCAATGATTTTAAAACAATTTGCATGCTAAAATTTGCTCGACAATCAAAGTTATGGTAAAAATTCTTTCTAACTGTTTGCCATTTCTAACTGTTTTAAAGAGCCAGGTGGTTTGTTAACACTCATATTTCCTCATATTAAAATCGTTTGAATAACATATAAAACGCTTTTTTATGTTATTTTATGTAAATATATCGTTACTCGTAATATAAAATTTAACTTATTAGTATATCTATCTATATATCTATTAATTTTAGGAGAATAATGTGCTAACAAGTGTGGAGGTGTATTTAATTTAACTAACAGTTAATTTTTAAAATCAACTTTCCTTTTAGTCTTGCTTTCACCCAGACTTTCATGCTAGAATGTTAATAAATTAGCGCGCGTGTATTCAAATGAGATACAAAGAAGTGCTATTTAAGGGAAGGTGTTTGGAAGGTGATTTTTGTTCGTTAGAGAGAACGTGTTATGCCCGCCTGAAGGCCACATTGCTATTTTGAATTACTAGCGATTAGATTGCTGTGGCGTTGAGTCCTAGCCATTAAGTTTGTTTCCGCCGAATTGTAGAGTCAGAGCCTTCCTGCAAGTTAAAATATCCCGTGAGTCGTTAGGCTAAGTTTACTACATTTTAGTTTAAGTTCATGATCACCTGTTTTGAGTTAAGCCAGAAGTGTTGGCTCTGTGTAAGCTCAAGGCATCTTTTAAATTATGTTGAGTGAGTTTTCTTCCTTCACGTTCGTACGGGGTTCGTGAGAATTTGGAGTGAATAATGACAAACTACTTGATGAAGTATCGAAACACACTTTATTGGCCAGTATAGTCAGGACAGCTCCAAAACACATTTTTACAGTCGTCGATGAATTATTATAAACGCGCCGACACGATCAGCGACACAGCCTCCAGGTTATCAGGCTAGCACGGTGGAAACAGCATCACGGTAAAGCACTAGAATACAGCTCCCGACTCTGCTTGGTCATTCTCGGAACTCCACGTACTCTCGAGACTTTCCACGCTACAACTCGCGATGCACTCGACGACACACAGAGCATAGCTCCCGACTCTTTGGTTCAGTCGTTCCCGGAGCTCAACACGCTCTCTCGACGATGCACTAACCGCGATACACTACGAGACTCTTTCGGCGCACTCGACGACCCACTCGGCACTCGCTGCCCGGCTGTCAACTGGATCGACTCCGCAGGGATTGACTCTCTAGACGAGACACCAACTCGATACTAACTAGAATGAAGCCCAGTATCTCGCACTCTAGATGAGGCACACCCTGACTGCGGACCAGCAGGGTTTATATAGCATTTGGCTTGTGTTCGAGAACATTCTGGGCTAAACCGGTAAGAATTCGTTCTAGAAGTTTCTCCATTCGTCCATGATATGTCGCCACCTTTGTCGTAAGACAATTTCTCGCCAAATGTGGCAACCCTGCCTTCCTTGCTATTTAAGGCAACCCTAAAACTCCACGAAGGCATCTCTCCTTTTAGCCAGATATTCCTCAAGTGTTTTGCCCAAACACAAGATTTAAAGGAAACATTACATAAAATCGCTTTTCCTTATGCCAAGATTGTAATGCGATTAAGGACTAAATTTCCATAAACAGCTCAACCAGATTGGTTTTAGTTTATTTAATTACGGCAAAACACTCGAGGGTTACCGTCTGTTGTTGTCTATAGTTTTCTTGTCTAGCTCCACGGTTCGTCACCGTCTGCAGCAGCATGAACTGCATGCTAGGGAGGATTTCCCAGTCGCTGAATCACAGATGCCTCCGACTTCAGTGGGCACGGCAACATAGTGAGTGGCGACCCCTGTGGCAAGAAGTTAGACGCTCCGATGAATCTCGCTACAATCTGGAGTACAATGATGGAAAAGTTACAAAGAGAAGAAGTTACAAAGAGGAACATCTGCTTTCACAGTGTGTTATCCAGCGTCATACTGCACAAACGGCTAGCATCATGTTGTGGGGAGCTGTTGGGTATAATTGTTGATCCTATCTAGTGCAGACTGCGGTCGATCTCAACAGTGATCGCTACATAGGGGAAGTTGTGAAGCCAGAAGTTCTTACCTTTCTTCGAAGCATTCCGAGCGCTGTATTTCAGCAGGATAATGACGTGCACATATTTATTAGACTGCAAAAGCCTTCTTTAGGGCACAACAAATTTCGTTTCTTCCACAGCCTGCTATATATCACCTATTTAGCATGTGTGAGATTTTATCTGGCGGCAACTCGCTCTTACAGCCGGTGGTGCACACACTAAAACTGCACTTTGGCGTCAAGATCGAAGCCATATGAAATACCATTCCCCAGGATTACATTCAGAACCTGTATGATTCAATACCACGACGCGTACAAGTTCTCATCGCTCCGCGTGGAGGACACACTGATTTCCGAAGTTTCTTTTGCTTTTTGGTCTTGTAAATTTGATCGTTTATTTGTAGCACTATCAGCAATATGTGAAATAAATTTAATTCATTTCCGATAATTCCTTCATGGTGCTGCATTTTTCACAAACATTAGTGTATAAATTAGTTTTAGGTTCATTTTTATATATCATGTACATATTTAATATACGTACTTGAATTAGTTTTAGGCAATAGAAAGTATTCAGCACGTACGTTACGTAAACCTATACAAGAGAAAAAAGTTATGTGAACAAGTGAGAAAAAATTATATAACGATGACAGCATTATATTCAAAATATTGAAAAGTAGATTGCATACGTTTTGTAACATATCTACTGAAAAAATAAAGTAGATGGTTTGGATTCTTATTTCTGTTCCCATTCTTGAATGTTCCTCCATTAGCTGGCATATTCTTTAGAAACCCTTTGTTACATTTTGTATGCTAAGTCAGTATACGGATGTCTGGAATTCCCTTTCAAACTTAAACATTCTTTTAGTATTGACAGATATAATCCACTGCTTTCGGAAACCAAATATTGTCTATAGTTTAAAATCCTTTGTATTAGATGTGTATTTGTATCATGCATTTAATGCCGAAACTGATTAATTAGATGTTCATTTAGCCGCAATACACCCGACCAAATCACGCACGCAGTTAAAAATGCCGGCCATCTGGTAACACTAATATAGTTTGTTTCTTTCAAACAGGCACTTCAAGCTCAACCCTTCCCATCTGTAGATCGTAACGCATGGCGTCATCACAGCACAGCACGTATTCCCTTCACCTCATCTGATACTGTAGTTCTAGTCAGTCTTCAACTGCAGGCCTTTCATAAATCGAAACACGTTAAACAGAAACGGAGTGTGAGAAAAAAACTAAACGAGACGAACCGTTTGCTGTAGCTGTAGTTCTCATGGTTATGAGACAAGCCAAATCGCAGAGAATGACCCTGGAAGTTCTATTTTCAAGTAAGACTATAACACAAGACGTGAGATGAATCTTTTGTCAACTGCAAAATGAATTTATTGGAATTTGATATATTATGTAATCCCAGAAAATAAAAGGAAAAGATAAATATCGCGTCCGACGATCTACTCAGCAGTAGCAAAACTGTAAACTTTGACCCTCTAAGTAACTTTTACCTCCTTATTTTAATACGTAGTGTTTGCTATCGTAATGGCATTTCATAATATGAGTTCTTTGATAATATGTGTGTATGCGAAGCATTGCTTTGTTCGAAATTTTTAGTATTTATTTTTTTATAATATTTTCTTTCATTGTGAGAAATTAGATTTTTTTATTTATTAATGTGTAGAATTTTAGTATGCCTACAGAGAATATGACGTGATTTCGGAATTTAAGAAACTGATATGAAAGCTGTGTATAATGTTCATATGGAATAAAAATATTTCTCTATTTTTATTAATATAAAGTTTAAAATTTTTAGAAAATAATGAAATTTGTCTAGTTACTGGTATGTAAGGGGTTCTGTCGTTACGTGGCAATAAGGTAATTTGTAGAAATGATAAAATGGAAATGTTCCACAATATAAATTTAAATTTAAAAAAAATCTTTTTTTATTTGTATAAATGCTGAAGCTTAAAAATTAAGCTTAAATGCTAGAAATGTAAATTTAAAGTAAAGAATTTGATGTCAATTTACAATAATAAAAAATTCATTATTGTTATTTTTAAGAGAAAATACAAAGTATGCGTAGCCTAAATGCGAGAGTACATTGTGACGTCACAAGCTCAGTCCCACCCATTTATGAACGAAGATGAAGATTTTTAAAAAAATCTTTATTTGTTTTAAATTTCTAAGTTATTTCAGACTGATTAATTGCAAAAGATATATTTTTAAAAAAACCTTCCTTTTCTGAAAATCAACAATTTGAAAACTGGCTATGTGCGATTAGCGTGGAAAGATAAAGCGAACACCTTATAGTTCATGCAGTATTGACATTGGTTAAGGAGAGTTGATGATTTGTTCATGATAGCGTAACGTAACGTAATGATGTTCCAAAAACTCTGGAGACTCTATTAAGGACATTTTTAACGTCATAATCATTACTATTAAAAATGACATGCTCAAGGATAAATCTTTATAACTTTTTACTTAATGAGACTAGTTACGTGTTATTTAAAATGATTACATACCTATCACGAGCTTGAATAAACAGGATTATTCTTATTTTATTCACATATATAGGGAAAAAATGATTCCAAAATTGTTAAGTTTTCTTTCCAGCGATAAGGGAGTAAAAGCTGGGAAACTAATCTTCGAGTCTAGAAACACGTTCTTTGAGAAAGACCTGAGGTAAAGTTTGATTTTCAGTAAACTTAATTCCATTTTCTGATACTTCTGTAGTATTAAAAAAGATTTTCAAGGAGACATGTCTGAACTAAGGGTAAATTAAAGAAGAAAAATAAAATACACAAATATTTTGCTTTTTGTTTTGATATTAAAAACATGGAAAGTAGGTAAAAATAAATTGTTAAGTTACCTAATGTAAATTTAACGGCTAATTTCTAGATTAATACGTAGCCAAAATTTCCAGTCCAATAATAAACGATAAAATGTGTTAATTCTTGATTTTCTTTCATTATTTACTGGAAAACCTTAAAGCCTCGTTCGTTAAGTAATTATCGTATGTGGGAAAAATAATAATTCAAACAGTTTAAGTTGCAACAGAAAATAGAGTTGGATTTTTCTGACTGTTAATTCATCAGGAAAAGATTTTTCCTATGGATTACAGAAACGTATATAGAACGAGGTGTTTTAGAAAAACATCTGAAGTTTTTATTGAAAAATTTATGTTTCATACTTGAATTCTTGATTGACACATTTAACTGCCTTTTTTGTAGATTGCCTGAAAAAGAACGAAATAGAAAACAGTTTTAATTTTTAATAAAAATGGAAAACGAAAGTGAGATATTCGTGATTATCAGATGAATAAAAGTTACATTGTTAACGCATATATGTTTGGATGGCATGAAAAGTATTGAAAAAAGAGAGAATTAATTCCTTTAATAGAAGCGAGAGAAGAAATGATAACAAAGAATCATAAGTGTTTTAATTTTTCATGTATTTCCTGAAAATTAGTTTGAACTGTTACATAAAAGTTGTTTGCAGTTTATTTTCAACGCAAAAGGGCTAATAGCAGATGTAGTCTATCTGGTACCTACCACCCATTAATGTGCGATTTAAGCTTACACGATGGAAGGAAGGCAGAAGCATGCATGAATACATAGATATACACACACCCCTTAAAGTTAAACTTAAAAATAGCCCTCTATTTTGCCATTCCCCTTCACGCAGTGCTCTCCTGAATCCATATATTTATATGGATTTGTTGTTTACTAATGAATTTTCTGTCTATTAAAAGTTTAATACTGTAAATAAATGGATAATTTTAACTACATATTTTTTACTAAATACTTTTATACTATGATATAAAAACATTTCTGCGGTTCCGCTATATTAAGTTATTGTGAAAGAGTGGGCGGTATAGAAATTTTACTGCCTATAAAATGGGCGGCAGGTATAGAAACTACCCCTGAGCCATTAGTCTCGAAACACGAATTTGCGTTTGTTTCACTTTTCATTTGAGTAGGTTGCCATTTAAATAAATATTATTCTTTCATACTTATTCTGTCTGTTAATTAACAAACTAAGCTATTTAAAAGAAACAGACGCAGACTTTTTTTTTTTTACTTTTTAATCTGATTTATTTAGTTAAAACTGCATTTAATTCATTATGTATTAATTAAAAATATTAAATATTTTTGTAGATCCATTACATATTATGCACCAATCAAATTATGATTCATTTTTATAAAATGCATTTAATTTATATCTAAATAAAAACATAACATATATTTATACAGTGACGTTACATATTTCATCATTTTTAAATATGCAGAATATATATAACGTTTATTCTATAAAATATTTCGTTGTTAAACGTTTATCAGTTATATCGATAAAATACATTGATAAATAATATTAAATTCTTTCGAGCGATCGTTAAAAATCTGAAGCCTTACAGATTTTGATTTTTTTGTGAGGGGGGTTTTTTTGTTTTTACTCTTTCAAACCGATTTCAAAACCAACCGAGAAAATCTATGCATCTTAATTTTGTTGTCAGCGCTCGCTGAGTAAGTTAAAACAAATTTACATATTATTTTTTAATTATGTTACTGAATTCTACATAATCATAGTAATGCTGTACCATCGTCGTGTCTCCGTCAAAGAACAAGACCTGTTCTGGGCTAAATATTTATCTTTATATACAACTATTTACAGATTACAATTTAGAAAACTTTAAAATACATTTTCACTACAGTAGAGCGCGCAAACTAGCGTCCGCTCTTTCCTCTTTCACATCTCAATCTCTTCCTACTCCCACCTGCGACCAGGGGGGATTTCCACTCCCCTCTTCCGGCCGAGGCGAGCAGAGGGTTCTCTGTCCCTTCTTTTAGGGCGGGTGACCAAGTGGTCTTCAGAGAAGGGAAACGTTTCAATGTTATTTTATTTTATTCCCTGATTCTTAAATAAAAAAGTACTTCGTATGTAATGTAAAATACTGGATTTAAACGCAGGAACCTTAGTCTTAAGAAAATCTCTGCTGTTTCATTCATAGAAATCTCAAGTAATTTTCTTAAGAAATACTCAATATTATTTGTAGCAAACTTGTCAAAAATCATATCAAACAGTTCTGTAGGTGTCTGTAGATCTGTAGTTCTGAGTATATTATATTATTATGTTTCTTATAACAGGAATCATTTTAGAATGCTACTAACAATTTAAAAAAGAAATTAATATTTTGTCTTAAATCTTAGTTACACAAAATCTTATTAAATCTGAAAAAAAATGTTTTATAAAATCTTAGTATTAATATAATAATAATCATAAATAGTAAAAATAATAGTAAAAATAAATTTATTTTTCTTTTTGCATAATTATCGAGGATTTTAAAGTACATATACGTAGTGTTACAATTTTTGTATGTTGTAGAATCATTAGGTTAGTTGGAAGCAAAAAAGATGAAAAATGTGCAACCGCCTTCGCCGGGAATCAAACCACGGACCTCTGTATACCGGCGCAGTGTGCAGAACCACTACACCACGAAGGCTCGCTAGGGAAGTGGGAGAAATACCTTATAATGTATGTAAACAATTTTAGTGAGATTATACTATCTCTTGTTTAATGTAACATGAGCAATTTCTCTGATTTCGTTGACATTCAGCATAATTGTCGAGCATTTTAAAGTAAGTATACACATTGTTATGATTTTTGTATATACGTAAATAAATTTAGTGAAATTATAGTGTCTCTTTTATAATGTAACCTGAAAGCTTTCTTTTATAGTGCAACATTAAAGAAAGAGAATTAAAAGATTATTAAAGAGAGATGCAAAGCTCTGCCGGAAAAATGAGGTTACAGGACAGGCCCATTTAACATTTAGCTAAATATCGGGTTTTAACAAAAGTTTCTTGCCATCGCAAATATCATCTGTCAAAGTAGTTCACGTTAGCGTGCTTTATCATACTTTAGGAAACGATATTTGGCATTTAAATAAAGAAACTTGCTTTCAAACACTGTGCTGTAAAATATATCGTACAAGGTATCTGAAATGGAACTATCACGCTACCAGATTAGAACCATCATTTACATCCTGTTCTGGTTCAAACGTCATCTACAGAATGCCACCAAATCATTTGTAAAGCTTTAGGTATTAATGTTGTATCATATGACACTGTGAAGGTACCGTGAATTTTAAAAACAAGGGTTGTGACATTCAAGAAGCATAGCGCTCTGGCCGGCCTACTGAAGCTGATGGCGCCCGCCTGCGAGAACTTGTGGAAGAAGATCAGTATGCAACCACACGAGAGCTTTCTAAAAAGTTAGATGTTAGGGTCATGCCAATTAGTTTCACTATGCATCGCATAAACTTGACGTACAAGTT